ATAAAATTTTCATTCTTATTTCTTTTAGAGACTGTGAGCCGTCATACTGCAGTTATCTGGAAGTATATTAGAAAAGTTAAGCAAACGTAGTAGGCGCAGCTCAATGTCGTAGAGGAGATTTCTAACAGCCAGAAAGTAACAAACAGTAATATTTTTGATGCCATAACCGCTGCAGTACAAAAATTAACTAAGTATAGCTCTATTCCTTGCTGAGTTGAAAGTGGGGGACAAAGTTCACTCGCTTCTGATCGCGCGTACATATATACAGACAGCCTCTCAACAATATGCGTTTTTGTTGACTGTAGCAGCGCTATAGCGCTGCATAGCAAAAACGCACAAAAATCATGCTTTCACGCGAATCGGAACGCATAATATTTGCTTTCGATCGCAGTCAATTACAGATTTGGATAGCTCAAGGTGCAACAAAATTTTACATGTATATACAATCGATGGCACCGGAAGTTGACGCACTGTTACGAGTCTATGAGCATTCCAGTGATCTGGATGTGGAGCGTGTCGAATGGGGGTCGCTACCAACAGCGGACGCTAATCCAGGCAAAAACGACCCCAATCTACGAATGTTTAGAATGGAAGTATCGTGCTTCTTACGCTTGACATAAATCTTGCATCAATTCTAGATAATTTCCCGAACGTAAAAGTCAGGTCTGAAACGTAGCTTGTTTTCGCTTATAATCAGCTGTGTGTGTGTTTCGAGTATTAATGAAAAATACAGCTGTGATGGCAAAATAACTAACTTACTTTCGTCGGAGACTGCCGTCGAGGAGGACTTGCTTGAGACGACTTTCTTCCTGGAGTTTATTGGCGAGCAGTAACAAAACACATCCGGCTTGTGTAGAAAAAGGGCCTGGTTGGTATGCTCTGGCTCATCACCTTTTGAAACGGGACAACATTCCTTCAAGAATGTCCTCACGTGACGGCAGAAGGGCAGGAATTCAAAAAGAACTTATTCGAAAGCGTACCGACTGCCGGTACGAAGATGCGTTTTTTGCATAGTTTCCCCGCAGGTTTGTTTTGCCAGTGGCAAACTCTTCCCGACAGATGCTTCTAGCTAAAAGAATTGTGGCTAGCCATCACGACTGTTAGAAATTATTACAATGACTCCCAATCCATGCCCATAAAATTCAGCGCTCTGGACGCTTTGGTTGTGGAATTACGTCAAATTTCACGTGTTCAAACGTGAGTGCTTTCTTCGCTTGCGGCTGGTTAAACGCGGTCCTGGGTAGCGCTCAGAAAGTTTCAGCGCTCCAGCTGCTCTGGTTGCTGAGTTACTTCAAATTTCACGTGCTCGTATGAGGGTGGCAACGTGAGTGCTTTCTTCGCCCGCGGTTACTCAAACACGGCCCTGGGTAGCGCTCAGAAGGTTTCAGCATTCCAGCTGCTCTGGTTGCGGAGTTACGTCAAACTTCGCGCTTGTACACATGAAACGTAAATGAGACGTGAAAGTGATGTGTGAGACGTGAATGTGACGTGTAATTCGTTTTTGCGTGCATCTGGCCAAAGGGCATTATCGGTTATGCTCAGAAATTTCAGGGCCTCTGGCTGATTCAATTCTCAAGTTACAAAACCGCATGAGTGAAATTTTCACGTGTTCGTACGTGAGATGCGGAAGAGCTTACAAGTAATTTACTTTCACGGGCACAACAGTGAGCGACAGGCAACGCTGCTGGATTGCAGCTCTCTGCTGCTTAC